TTAACATCATGCAAGTGCAATATGTAACATATATTAGCAATGCTGCCCATTATGCTTAAGAATCTATAGATTTATTAACGACAATACACGTCAAGTTCTCCCTTTTAGTTGGAAATTTGGGACACAACTGACAGTGAAGGCGTGTGAATTAAAACAACACAAAGGCGGCTAATTTCATAAATGAACGTCCTAAAAGTGCATCACATGAATCACCCACCACAACTCCAACACTTCATTTTATAAAAACAAATAGAAATTGTTCGGGTTTTTTTTTTTATTCTTTCATGTCTATATAATAAAACATATAGTAAAAAAAAAAACGTGTGCAACGGAAAACACCCTAGTGAAATGAGAAATCAAATGAGGTTGTTTTATGAGTCTTATGAATTCCTGTGGTTATTTGAGCATCCAAAAAGCTTGATAATATGCAGCAGAGAGGGCTCATGTTTTATGATTGGAAACTAGGTTAAAATTTAATAGTTCTTAAATTTGAGGGTTTATCGGACGATTTCGAAAACCATCCAAGCCTTTTGGAGGAAAGGGTACCAATCACCTTCTAATGATAATGGTGACGCTATGCATTATAGTTGCACAGTTGGACCAAGCTTATAGGAGACAACTATGACCTTTCCTTCAGCGAGGTGGTAGGTAGGATTTTTTATTTTTATTTGTTGGGGTGCGCTGGTAGATGGGATTCAAATCATGTTCTTTTAAAATTTTGTCAATTTCTCTCAAGTCCAAATATTTACTCTTATATTATAATGGGCCTTAAGGGATTTTTTTTTTTAATTCTACTTCCATAAATAAGATAAAAAGATGTAAACATATTAAACTTGATCAAAATTTATAATATAAAATATGACATATTTTAATAAATTAATTCGACAGTATATTTAAGACTCATCCAACGGCCATCAACATACATCTCAAAACCTTTCGTATTGTACCATTCTTTCAGACATAAATTATCCCAACTTAATATATGTAAGATTGACAGGTGCGGTCACAAATTTTCTTTTTCATTTTTATGGGTTGGTGCCATCAAAGATTATGATTTTCATAAGAGTCCACCAGACTTGACTCACAGATACAAAGCAATAGAAAAAAAGGGGGGGGGGGAGGGGGGAATGAATGATGAGTGTTGACTATTTTGTCCCGACCATGATCCATGACCTATAGTTTTATGGGGGTGTTTGGATAGCGGGATATAAAGGTTGAAATATATTAGATTGAACATAATTGGGATAAATCCCATTTATCCCATGTTTGGAAAGCAAAACCGGTGCTGAAATATTCCATTTGGAGAAATCCAACACCTTAATTTGAATAGTTTCATTTATCTATTATCGATTAGTTTTCTCGAACCAATTTAAGGGGTAAGTTAAATTTGCAATCAATGAAATTTCTTCTGGAAAAAACTATTGTATCACTTATTTTTTCAAAAGGCCAGACTGCCTAAGACATATGATGGTAAAATTCAATTAAAAAAAACTTTTGTGGAACCCACAGAAACAAAAATGCATTTGCTAAACATAGGATTCATTAAAAATATACCTTAATTCCAAGGTAATGCAATTGATAGTATTGGATTAAGTTGAACTGAAAATGATCAAAAACCCCAATCCTATTGAATCCCACCTAATCATCGTTTTAGTTTCCTAGAAAATACAATCGTTTTGAAAATATTTTGGACACTTTTCGAACACAGAAGGAAAGGAATAAAAAAGTTTGAAATTTTTTTTCCAAATATTTCTAAACATGCATTGGTCAAAATATACCGAATCTTCTTAAACATGGGCTGATCTTGGCTTAGCAAAATAAAGCTGCAGTACACTCTGCAGGCTGGGCCTGCTCATGTACTACCTCTTGCGCTGAACCCTCCCTAACAGGGTTTAACCACAGTATTGCCTATTTCTTCCAATTTTTTTCCAGTTCTAATTGCCTGGGTCTTTTGAATCCAGATCCTTACGAATATTTTTCTTTTTAGTTTTCTTCTCAGTCGATCATCCATCATTAATGACCAAAAAGGTCCACTTATATATAATGTAGTCCCATTTAACTAGATTATAGGTGATTCGTCAATAATGAAATTAAAATATATATATATATATATATATATATATATATATATATATTAGAATGGATCTCAATTTGAGAGGTTTCAACCTATAGAAGAAGTCTCATGGGTACTTTGTTCTATAAATCTCTATTTACTCTTTTCATTTTTCTCAAGTGGAATCAAAATTTCAAGTGTATTTCCCTCATTCACCATTTCCTCCATTGTGTGTTGAATGTGTTGTCCTTGTTTTCCAAAAAGCTCGGCCCCGCCCATTTCCACCTTTACGTAGTGGGTTTTTTTTGTCGAATTAGAAATATTTAAGTTACAGTTTTTTCAACAGATTTAAGTTTATAAAGTAGACGATTGTCTAACATAGTATTAGAGTAGGCGATTCTGTATTTGAGTCTCGCTATTACTCTAAGTATTAAAAAGATTTTCATATGTTAAACTCAAAATCTAACATGTATGTGAAAGAACGTGTTGAAATATAAATATTTAAGTTTACACCATCTCTAACAACTTGGACTTTTGAAGAAATGGTTGTTTAACATCATTTTCATGGTGGGAACATTTTTTTCCTCAAGTAGGAATAGAGTCCAGTTATGCTTCATGAACTTGTTTGTGTCTGTAAGTGAGTTTATTGATTTTCAGAAAAAAATAAGTGCAAAATCTAATTATCTCATGAGATTGAAGTCTCGGCTTTGACCTAATTGATGCAGTGATAGTTGCATATATGCCTATGACATTAGCTAACTGTTGAAAATAGGAGGTGACTCATATTCATCTTGTGTTCTTGTACTTGATTATTTATTTTTTTATTTTTTATTTTTTGTTAATTGTTCACCATACTACATGTTCACAACACAAGGCTTTCCTTATACCTATATCTAACTCTCTGGGAAGTTAGGTTCAAATGCAAACTTATGACTCGAAGCTTTTTTATGTAACAGTATATTTAGGCGCTTTGGTTCATTGACGAGACTATCAGCAATTAGAAGATTTTGCTAGTGCCCTGTCGTACTCGTACTTTCAATTTCTTCCCTTTTGTTGCTACACCATGATGGTACCCCAAATGATCGGTACGATAGTTTAGGCATCTTTAGACAAGGAGTGGTCTTTCAAGATTGGTTGTTGTGTGTCACAATCTTTCACATATCATTCACTTGCTGTCACTGTAAATCTATAGTTAAGGATTGGTTGGTACTCTGCATCAATTTCACCGGATCCATGTTGGAGACATTGAATTTCAAAGTAGTATGACCTAATTCAAAAATTCCATTCAATTGAGCACTTCTAACATATTTTTTCACATTAACAAGATCGCTATGACCGACTCCATTGAGTTCGTCACCGTAGAACTTAGAAATTTGTTGGATCCTAATGACTCGAGAGCATGAATCGGAAAGTCAGTATGCTAAGTAAGGGTTAGAACCAAAGATATAACCATGGACGAAAGATAATGGGAAACAAAGATTCATGTAAAAGGTACAAAAGAGAATACAACTTACATGCAGTTAGGGTTTCTGATAGTTTCTTCTGCATGAAATGCAATCTGAGGCTCTTTCTCATATATATTAAGCCTAATCAGTCGCAGGGCAACTCTCCTTTGGCAGGTAACTGGAATTTTAAGTTCAGAGAAAACATGATCCACCGCTCAGCTGCCAAGGGAGAGAAGCCCTACAACTGTTTTGCTTAGTGAAACCTTTGTCATGTCCCAGATCGAGTTGTGTTGTTCCAGTGGATCTGTCAAGAGCTTTATATATAGGACAAGTGGGATAAGCCACTGAAGAGATGGCATATCCATGAGATTATGCCATGGATATCCTTCAATGCCTGCTTTTGATAAATTCCTTGCAAGCCTCTTTTCCACTAAAAAGCTTCTTCCATATTTCTTTCAGATTCTAGTTAGCTTGACTTCGACCTCTCTCTCTCTCTCTCTCTCTCTCTCTCTCTCGGTCTCTGTGATTGTGGAGGTCGATGGAGGAAGATATAAAGCAATACAGAAGAGATGCCTACTTTTTCTTTTGTTTTTTTTCAACAGTCAAGAAATATCCGGATCAATTTATGCGCGCCTCTCAACTTATCTTCTAGTCTGAGTAAAGACAGATTATCTATGCCGAAATTAGATTATTTATGAGGAATAATCTCTCATGACCTGACTTTAAGAGATTGTCAAAATTCAAATTCAAGATATCTAAGTTTATAATTTATTGTTATTATCATTTGAGCGATCTTAAATCGGAGATCCCTACTTTTGGTTATGGAGGTGGCAGCAAAACTTGGATCTTATGGTATATCCTTTGTCATATTCTTCTCATTTTAATTTTCTTTATGTTTTGGCCTCAAAGGTGTTTGAAAATCCTAAAAACCTTTGACTGACAATGCAAATTTAGTCCAATCAGAGTAACTCCCAAAGACAGTAAAACTTATCTGCAATTACTTTTATCTTCCATGTGTCTGGGCAAATGAAATCTTTATTGTGATTCGTGTGTGCAATAAAACAATATATGAAATAAAATAATACAAGAACATAAGAATTTTTATAGTTTGACAACTGGTCTACATTCACAATTCTAGAATGACTTTCTTGTTTTTTATTTCACACTGAATTAATGGTACAACTTAACTTGTATATGTTGCAATCCTAAATAAAGCATCTCGAAGACACGTGCTACTCATCATCTAAGTCCCAAGCAAACGTATAATTTACAGCAAGGATTGAGACTGATATTTGGTATGAACTAGTCCAGCAACCATAATAATTCAAGAAAAAAAAAAACACGTTGAACAAACAAGATTGTGAATCAAAGCCTATAATAAAAATCTTGAACAACATACTTAGGTTTTATTATTATAAACAACCAAACTCAAAACTATTACTGACTCATACATGTTGATATCTGCCTTTATCCCCCTAAACAAATTATATAACAGGTGTTCATCACTTTGGTTTATCATTTGCAAGTCTTTCACTCAGTATTCTAACCCCCATGTACCTGCATCACAGCAAACAATAAAGCACCTCTTGATGATCAATCTATACATAAATAAATCCAAATAACTTCAATGAAAATGCTAAGACTTGCATGTTTTACCTTCCAAGCATCATAACTGTGGCTTGAGGATTAGTTCCCGGAGAGTAATTAAATGTCGATCCATCGATAACCCGAAGAGCATCGACTCCAAGAACTTTATAATCATGATCAACCACCCTACCAACCTGGCACCCTCCATGGTAATGCCATATGGTCATCACTGTGTCCTTACAAAACTGCTCCAATGACGTTGAAGCATTATTGTGTTTAGGCAACAAGTTCACCGGAAAACTCGCAGTCATGTTGAGAAGGGCTGGCAGAGAGAGAGAGTCATATCTAAATTGGGAGAATGACTTCGATTCGATTATGGTCTCAATGACTTTGATACCATTCACACATCTTTGCAAGTCCTCGGGCTCTTTGAAGTAATTGAAAGTGACTGATGGATTATCGTTGGGATTGCGATTTTGGAGCTGTAGATGGCCGGTGGAGAGAGGTCCCATGATCTTCTCTAAAATGAATCCTCCTCTGAAAGCTGCATCATCAAGGGCACTCATGGCTTCAACAGCTTTGGCTATGGCTTCTGGAGTTCTTTGTTTTGGTGGTAATGTTGAGAGCTGCCCAATCTGAAATGTGAACAAATTTTTGTGTTTGGTTATCTGAAGAAACTGAGGCCAATTAAGAGACAATTTAGTTAAAAAAAGAGATAATTTAGTAAAAAAATTAACCTTAGTTAACTTATTCACATTGAATTTATGATTTTCAAACGTTCCATATATGGATTGTGAAAGTAAAATTCGTCGAATAATTAAATTAAATCTTTATTAGATTTTTTAGAATCTAACACCAGTTCGGATCAAATCTTAGGCTGGGGACCTGAATTTCACTGGCCAATATCTAATCCACACCTAGGTTAACTTGTTATCACACCCAAAAACTTAATTTGCAACATATTCCTACTATGTAATTGTGAATTTAGGTTTAGGGCGTGATTCAAACATAGTTGGCTCCACTAAAAGGCCGGTAGTACGATTCAAGGGAATTTTATATTCTTGAAATGTATATACCAAAAACTAGAGTCCCGAGGGAACCTAACTGCGGTAGAGACTCCCATCTCCCTTCTTTAGTAGCAATGTTCACTACTGCCGCTGCTGTGGAGGACCCGCTTGTAGGCTTCAGGCCACTAAAAGGCTTGGAAACAACCTCCAATTTGTATTCTGGTCTGTTTGGGCCTGATCAATTTCTGGCCTTTGGACCCTTAGTCTAGCTGGAACCTTAATAATGCCAATTGTGGTTTAAGTAGACTGATAAAAATTGAACAACAATTACCTTAGGAGAGAACATTCCAAAGTCTCTCCCAGGAGATGGAGGAGCTGTTCCGGCGAAGTTTGCTCCACTGGAAGCCTCGATGTAGCTTCCGAAGCTAGTGATACCGACAACTTGAATGAGAGAGACCTCGACTGGAACCGGAGAAGGAACAAAGATGGCATTCATGGAGTTGTCCGACATGCCTTGACCAACCAAGGGCTGGTCCAGCACCACTGTGATATTGTGGGCCTTTAGGTGTTGTGATGGGCCAACACCACTCAACATCAAAAGTTGTGGGCTTGCAAGTGCACCAGAAGATACAATGATCTCATTCTTGGATCCGATCTTCAAGTATGCTCTGTGCTTCATTCCTAATGCATCTCTGAAGGTGACTCCATGGGCTAATGGCCTTGATTTGCCTATTTGAGAACTTTTCTTGGTTAATTACAGTTTACTGAGAAAATCTAACTTATCATGCAACAAGTATTGGGCTTGTGGTCCATTGGCCCATAAGAGGAAGTGTATATGATATTATGTCCCCATATTTCCTCACTTTATTGTCATTAAAAATTTGTCTGGGTTCATATTCACATTTTTATTTTTATTTTTTTTTGGTTCAACGGTTAGGGGTATCCAGATCAATTTATGCACACCTGAATTAATCTCCTCTCTAATCCAGTCATCCACACTACGATTATGGAATTCATGAGGGATATTCATATTTTATACAAATGTATGTAACCCTAAGGCTAGTTCACATGATAAAATTAATAAACTGTAAACTCAGACATTTTGAATTCGAATCTTAGTAATTCTTTAATGTCAGGTCATGAAGGAATACCTTAAATCTGGTATAGATGATCTACTTTTGATTAAATCAAAAAATAAATTAGTCAAGTTACACGCAAGCTAACCGGACACTCTACACCATTGAACCAAAAAAATACAAATATATTTAAATACATTGAGTAATGATACTTGAACTAAATTTGTCGACATAATTCCTTTTAACCGTCAAAATATTAGCAAGTTTTAATGTTAAAATTAAGACATGAAATTATGTCAATCAAAGGTAGTTATGCACTCATGCAAATTAGGGCAACCATAGACACTGTCTCAACTCAACGTACCTTTGATTCTGAACAAGATCTTATGAACAGAAGCATGAAGAAGAACTGTAATCCCACTAGGGTTTGCATACTCAAGCAAGTCAGCAGCCGTATGTCGATGCCCATCCCGATCAAAAATGGTACCACCAACCTTAGTCCCATTAATATGATCATAAGTGAACCCATTGTTCGGCACCACCCCAGCTTCCAGCAACCCATCCCTCACCGCCGATTGCCACTGTCGAACTGGCGGCAAGAACGCCACCTTGTTTTCGACCCACCGGTACGACTCGTTCACCAGCTGGCCGTCCCACCCGGCTTTGCTCACATAGTCGGTGGCAGCCCGCGAGTAGAAGCCGGCGTTTATGCAGCTTCCCCCGCCGAGTACACGCGCGCGTGCGTTGATGACTCCGTCTTCGGAGATGAAGCGTTGAGAAGGGGATTTGGGAGAGAGGTCGGAGAGTGCTGCTCCGAAAGCTGCTAAGTCGGTGATGTTAGGGTTGCCGTAGGGCGAACCGCCTCGTTCTAGGAGTAAGACGGTGTAGTTTTGGGAGAGAGTGGCTGCCAAGGGGCAGCCGGCGGTGCCGCCTCCGACGATGATGTAGTCGTAGTAGGAGACTTCTGGAGCCGAGGTTGCTTCATGCGTGAAACTGTAATTTGGAGCTGTGGAGAGAGAGAGAGAGAGAGAGTGATCAGAGAGATTAGTTCAGGTAACAGTTAACAATTAATATAAAACAATGGTACATGCACTTAAAAAATAAATTTAAAAATTAAATTTAATAATTTTAACTATTGATTTTACTTAGCATTTATTGGGGTTCATTACCTCTTCAATGGTTGAGATTATCAAGTTAGATTTTTAAATCAATTTTTTAAGTCCATCTAACATTACTCATTAATATAGAACTGCATCTAGATCTATAATCAATTATAACATATTAAGTAAATAAATTAGGTTTAATTATTGTCCTTCGATACCAATATTTAATTTTCCATGACTTTAATATGTTAAAACAAACTGAAAAATAATATTTGTAACCTAAAAATTTAACCTAATACATTATCCTAATGATGTTAAAGGTCATATAATCTTATTAAAAATATTCAACAAATTCAATTATACCAATATTATTAGAGCATATCAACTGTCCCTTCATTAAATTTGTGTTTTAGGTCACATTTTATATTACAATAGTCTTAGTCAAACAAAACTTTTAAAGGAGTTAACCAAAATTTAGGACCAAATTTTAGAGTCTAAATGACATGACAGCTAACTTGGACTTTTTTATTTTGTGTCATGTCATTTGGACCCTAATAAAGACTCCAAATAATATGTTGTCATGTCATTTGAGCTTCAAATTTAATTCTAAAATTTGGTCAGCCTAACATTATTGTTGAAAAAAAGATAATATAAACATTGATCTAAGAATCCCTGTTGTTCTTTTGGGATTCCTAGCATTACTCTTTGTGTGACCAAAAAAATAAAGAGTAATGTTATTTAAACTTAAAAATCTAACATAATTTGCTGACATAATAATGTGGCTTAAGAAAAATTATTGGATCAACATTAAATTCCAATATTTGATGGAGCCAACCGTCAATCTAAAGATTACAATGTATTAAGTTAATAAATTAAATCAAATTTTTAAGTCTCGAGATTGCTCAAAAATAAAAACATTGCCCTTTGAAAGGAGGTTGCTGGATGACATTAAATTCACATTTCTAGAGTTGTCCCCCCAGTACATAATTATTAGTCGGTGAGACATTCAGTATAGTGTGTCGCACCAAGTGGTCTATCACTAAGAAAAATAAACAAAAAAGGGTGACAAATGGTTGCTTGTTAATACATTGAATTCATAGAAAATCATTTCATATATTACTGTCTGATAACGACATCTTTCAATGATCCTTTTTTCTAGTTGATCCCCAGAGTTTTCATCATAAATTATACAACGTTTTAAAAGACAAGAAGATATACAGTAGAATTGCTTAGACAGTTACATAAAAGGCAATTCCTGGTGTCATTACCTAATTTGCAACTAATCCTTCTTAAAGACAGGGTTTACCCTAAAACTTCATTTTTTTTTTTTCTGATTTCATGCTACTGCAGCCTAGGACACAGAGACACACACAGATACAAGCAAAAATATCAAGAAGAAATAGGAGAACTAGGGAGAACTATCCCATAGAACTCTAGTACGTGATTGCAATTCCAACCTTTTTTTTTTTTTTGGTTAGTACAGTGAGAAGAGGTGATTAGTAGGTAGTAATCCTCATGCGTGCGATTAAGAGGGTCTTTTCATTGTGGAATATCCGGTTTTTTAGCTATAACTACTAACTCACAGTCTATCATCACAACACTACCAAAGTCAAGGAGCAAACTGCATTATTTTAGTGAATCGAATTTTGATTGATAACTATGTGAAAATTAAAGACAATCCTAAACGAATATTATTGAACA